CTCTCTGTCCCCTTTACCATCCATCTATCCCTTCTCTCGTCTCTCTGTCCCTTCTCCTGTCCGTCTGTCCCGTCTTCCATCTGTCTCTCCTCAGTCCCAGCAGCCTCTTAGGACCTGCAGCACAGGGAGGACGGGAGGTTCAGGAGCCCTGGGAATGGCAGCTCCAGCCTCTCCCTGGTTTTGGGGCCGGTGTGTGTCAGCCTGGGTGGGTGGGTGCCTCAGGGATGATGCTCTCAGGGGGGAAAACCTGGCCGTGGCTTGGTCCAGGCTTGCCAGGCTCCAAGTGAAGCGGGAAGACCCCACGGGAAGGGCAGAGCATTCCCGAGGGAATGGCTGCTCCTGAACACTTCCAGAGGCACGAGGCTGGACGGGTCTGCAGCGTCTTCACTCTTCGGATGCAGCTGTGCTGAGATCGGAGCTCTCACTTGGGGCAATGAAAGGATGTTCAGGTCAACTGCATTTCCCTGAAATTTATAATTTTGTCACCTACTTGGACGTTCCGATGGCTTCCGGCAGAATAAGGGTGGCTGGCAAGTGACCATGCCTGGAGGGCTCGGGTGGGAGCCGTGGCTTTCCTGCTGGAGCTGAGTCTCTGGGACAGTCACCAGCACCTGTCTGTGTCCCAGGCCAGGCTCCGGGACAGGGAACAGCCACCACATGTGGTGACTGTTGTTTGTGGCTGGCATTTATCCTGGGATGTGAGGGGATCACCTGGGTGGACACAGAATCTTTTGAGGGTTGATGTAGGGAGTCACCGTGGGAGTAAAAATTGGGTTAGAAGCCTCCAGAAGGATCTTTTTGAGCCCCACACAATGGTTCTGTGTTTCAGGCTGCCCAGCTCAGTGCTCTCCCTTTCCCTGCAGCCACCAGGATGGCCGAGGTGACCACTGTCCCCGTGGAGACACACACTGTCCCGAGCGAGTACGGGGACTACCACAACTTGTCTGAGCTGATCTACCTCCTGAACCACACCTACACCTACTGCGAGTTCAGCCTGGATGAGAACATCAAGCGAGTGATTCTCTTCATCCTCTACCTGGTCTTCTTCGTGGTAGGCTTGGTGGAGAACCTCCTGGTCATCTGGGTCAACTGGCAGACAAGGGGCAACAAGAGCTTGGTCAACCTGTACATCATCAACATGGCCATCGCTGACCTCGGGGTGCTGCTCTCTCTGCCCATCTGGATGCTGGAGGTGATGCTGGATTACACCTGGCTCTGGGGCAGCTTCCTCTGCCGCTTCACCCACTACTTCTACTTCGTCAACATGTACGCCAGCATCTTCTTCCTCACCTGCCTGAGCGTGGATCGTTACGTGACCCTGACCAGCTCCTCCCTGTTCTGGCACCGGCACCAGCACCGCACGCGCCGCGTGGTCTGCGCCTGCAGCTGGGTCCTGGCCGCCGCCATCCCTGTCCTGGAGGTGGCTCACATGCAGCTGGTCAACACCGGGGAGCCCATCTGCATCTTCATGGCCCCCTTTGAGACCTACGACGAGTGGGCGCTGGCGGTGAGCTTGGCCACCACCACCATCGGCTTCCTCGTCCCCTTCCCCATCATCGCGGTGTTCAACGTGCTGACGGCTCGCTTCATCCGGCGCACCAAGCCCGAGAGCCGCAAGCACTGCCTGCTCATCTACGCCTACATCGGGGTGTTCCTGCTCAGCTGGCTGCCCTTCCACGTGGTGCTCACGCTGCTCACCCTCGAGGGCAACCACATCGTCCTGCACTGCAGCTTCGCCCACTTCCTCTACTTCTTCTACGACGTCATAGACTGCTTCACGCTGCTCCACTGCGTCGTCAACCCCATCCTCTACAACTTCCTCAGCAAGAACTTCCGCAGCAAACTCATCTCTGCCGTGGTCAAGTACATCCCGAAGGACCACGGTGGCCAGAAGGGCGCTGGCAACTCGTCCTCCAGCACGCAGCACTCCATAGTCATCACAAAGGACAACAGCCCTCCCAACTAAGGGGGTCGGACTCTCCCAGCCTCTGTCGTGGTGGCTCCCTGGGGATTGATTTTCCTGTTGCTGAGGACACAATTTGCTTGGGCACAGCCCTTCTAGGCTGGGCAGGCAGGATGAGGTGCCAGGTTTGAGGAGAGCTGGGAGCTATGGACATCTTGCCTCTGGAGTGTTGCTGTGTCCAACCCAAAGAAAAGATAAAACAAAATTATATTCCCCATTTGACAAGTGAAACCTTTGCAATAACAGAGCCTGTAACCCCACTCAGTGTCTGACACAACTCAGCCCCGAGATCAGATCCCCATCCGGCCCCAAGCTGTGATCTGCCCCATCACAGGTGTTCCTGCATCCTCCAACTTCCCTGACCCCCAGCCCTGGGCATGGCACTGCCTGGTGAGTGCCATCCTGAGCGGGAGAGAAGGAATCCTCCCTTTGGAACACAAACCTCCCCTCACCACGCCCAGCAACATCCAGAGCCTGATTTTTGAAAGATGAAGGTGAAGCAGCCAAAGTGGCTGAGCAGGGCACAGACCTGAGGGGAGGAACAATTTAGATTTGAGATCAGCCACTCCTTCAGAGCAATTTTGCAAACCCAGTGGTAAAGTAGTGATGGCTAAACTGGGTTTGACTGGGAAGGGCTGCTCCAGACTGACTTTGGATCTCCCATCCTGTTAACTCCAGCCTCTTCTGGAGCATCTCCTGGCCACTGGGTGGATTTCATGGCCACTGGATGCATTTCTCAACTCTATCAGGCTCCAACAGCCTTTCCCCTTCCACCAAAGTCCCTGTGAGAGCACGGGCATGTGCAGAAAACCTTGGAGCTGGAGCAAGGGCTGGGCTTGTGCTGTGCAAGGAACTGGAGCATCCGGAGAAAGTTCATCCTTGTCTGGACCCTGATCTCAGTCACGTGCTGTGGGTCGAGCCCTCGCTGGGGGAAGGTGACAGAGCCCATAAATCCAACAAAGGCCTTGAGCTGCTCGAGGATCGTGCTGTGAAAAAAGCAAAGCATAAGCAGTTCTGCGGACAGGATGCTGGTGCAGGGGGAGGGAGCAGGATGTCCCAGGAGAAGCCCATGACCAGGGGTTAGGATGGACAAGGGGTTATCACAGGGCTGGCTGGGAAAGCTCTGCCAGTTCCAGGGGTCCTTGATGGGGTAAAACCCTAAATACCTCAGGGTTCCTTCTACAGGGGCGCTCCCCTGTATCCTGGGACACGAGCACTGAGGGAACAATCCAAATCCACGTCTTACACAGAAATTCTGGAAGGCTCCAGCCCCCTTCTCAGGATTTGCTCAGGATTCCCTGCTCAGGGCAGCAGCTCAGGCCATTCCCCTTCCTCTGTTTCTCACCCTGTGAGTGCAGAACCCCGGGGGCTGTGAGACCCCCGGGCTGAGATCTGCACCCACAGGACCCCACCACTTACATTCCCTGATTCCAAATCCTGAACTTCTCTTTGCTAATTCCCTCTCATTTCCAATGAAGAAATGGATGATAAATACACAACCAGCCACGTACCAGGGCAAAAATACATTCAAGATAACATTTACTTAAACATGCAAAATTTGATTATTTCACCTAATAAACTTAATTTTTAACTGACTTAATTTCTCTGCACTTTTCTCCATAGACCTTAAGGCCAGAGTGGCCACAAATAAATTGTCGCCCATGCAGTGGTTTGGGCTGGGGCACCCTGTTCCTGTGTTCTGCGACTTCCATGGGAAATTCTTCCTTGTGTGGAGGTGGAACTTCTTGTGATTTCATTTGTGGCCGTTGCTCCTTGTCCTGTCACACCACTGAAAAGTCTGGCACCATCCTCTTGGCACCCACCTTTGAGGTATTGTTATGGATTGATGAGATCCCCTCTCAAATGAGATATTTATACAGATATCTGAGATATTTTTATGGATTGATAGAATCCCCTCTCAGTCTCCCCCAGACAAGCAAGCCCAGCTCCCAGAGTCTCTCCTCATCACTGAGCTGCTCCAGACCCCTCAACACCACTCCAGTAAATCCTTGTTTCTGCAGAACTCAGTTCCCAGCACACACGGAGCTGGCAGCACAGGAAAGGCTCATCCAGGCACACAAACCCAACGGGAGGGCTCTGCTCCCACCCTGCTACTGCACCCCTCACTCCCTCCTGTTCCTCCATCCCACAGGAATGTCCCAACCTGTTCCCCTGAGCCACTCCCAGTCCTGGAGCCATGCCACAAATCCAGTGGGAGCACTGATACAGGGACAGCCTCACCTGCTTCCCAGGCAATCCTGGAAGGAACATGTTTTATCAAGAAGCAGCTACAGGAGGTCAATGTTTTCCATTTTATTATTCTAAATAAAAAACACACTTTGTGCTGAACAATGGAGTAGAAAAGAACCCGATGTACAACGATTTTAGACATCTACGATTTGGGGGAGGGGAAGTTTACAAAATATACAAAACTTTACAGCAAATAGATAGTAAACACTTAAATAGCAGGAGGTCAGTACCTACGATTAACTTAACGAAAAGGTTAGACAGCAAGTTCAACTCTTGTTCTTCCTTCTTCTGCTCAATTACTCTGATGAGAGACCTGGATCCACTGAGAACAGGGAAAATGAATTTTGTCTTGGGGATGGGAGTGAGCCTGGGCTCGGAGCAGGGCCCTCAGAAGGGATTCCCTGTCCAGGCTCCCCAGGAGGCTCCATGACTGGGATGCTGCCAGAATTTCCCCTCTGCAACTCCCTCTCCTACCCCAGGACCCCAAAGCACTTTGCAAACACCTCAGGCTGCCCCGGGAAAGGTAGATCAGTGTCCCCACAGTCACCAAGGGCAGTGGGGGCAGGAGAGAACCAGTTTTGCTCATAGTGGTAGAGAAGGAACAAAATCTGGCACAGAGCGACTGCTCTGGCTCTCCCAACACTGAACTGGAGCTCCCAGCCAGGCTGGCTGGACATGGGGACAGGGACATGGGGACAGGGATGACATCCCTGCCAACCCCTGGAGGCTTGGGAACACCCAGGACTTTCCTGTGGGGAGCACTCAGGTCTCTGACCCCTCTGGGAATCACCCCCCAGGAGTAGCAGCAGCAGGTCCAGACCCATCCCTGCAGCCCCTCCACTGCTGATTTCGGGGTGTTCCGTGTGGGAATGATTCCTTCAACCCAGGCAAACAGAAATTTCCTGGATCAGAGCCAGCAGCAAGCAGGGGGCTCCTGCTTTGTCCCCCAGGGCCAGGAGTGAGGAGCTGGCTGTGCCTGTTGGTGTTTCGGTGTAAAAGCTTCTCTTTTTGGTTTATGTGCACAAAAGGCTTTTGCTTTTCAGCTTAGCAAGATCCAGGGCTGCAGACCCTCCCTGAAGCTCACCACAGCTTCTGGAACATTCCAGGAAGGTCTCAAGGCTCTCCCAGCCTTGTCTATCCCTCACACCCTTCACAGCCACCTCCAGAGCAGTGCAGGTCGTGTCCATCCCTGTCCCCAGCCTGTCATCAGCCAGGCACAGCCCTGAGTTCTGTGCTTGAGGGGACCCTGCACGAGCAGGGGGTGGGACTGGGTGACCCCAACGGTCCCTTCCAGCCTCATCCATCCCACAGTTCCATGACAGAAACCCTGGAACCCAGAGAGCAGCTCAGAGGAGCCCGCAGCAAAGCACCACCAGCTCCCACACTTCCCAGAGCACCACACCATGCCCAAAATTACCCTTTCTCTTGTAAAACCTAACACAGCTCAACACAGCTCCACAGTGATCCCAGGACCTCGAGGCCGGAGTTCAGAGCTCAGAGCTGCAGCAGCCAGGCCAACCCCGAGCTGACCTTGGCTCTGGTGCCTCCCTTCCTCCAAAGCCAGGCTCCAGGCACCCTCCCCGCTCCCGGAGGTAGGTCGGTACCACGGGAGGTACCACCCTCATTTTACAGATGAGGAAACTGAGGCAAAGAGGTGAAGTGACCTGCCCAAGGCCACGGCAGAGCCAGAAGAGAGACCCCGGGTGCTCTGAGCTCTCAGAGTCCAGCCCCCACTGCAGGATGGCCCTTCCTGGGTATCCCTTCCTGGGTGTCCCTTCACAGGGAGAGGGCAGTGGGGTGAGTTTCCAGGGTTTGCAAATCACTAGTTTAGTTTAGTTTAGTTTAGTTTAGTTTAGTAACAGCAAAACTTGACAGAAGCGCAGGAGCTGATCCACGACCACCAAGGCTGGACAGCCCTGAGCACTTCCTTGTTTGTGAGGTAGAATGAGTTACCCGAGGGCAGTCCCAGCTTGGAAATATCTGTTCCTCCCCACCTCTGCCCCACAGCTGGATAACACAGGGAGAAGCTAATCCATGCCCTTCCCAGTGTTAACGCTGTTGGCACCAGCTGACCTCGCCAGGGTGGCCAGGAGGGACCCCCAGGAGTGGCCAGGAAAGCCCCCCATGCTGAGGTGGAGCTGACACAGGGCCAAGAGAGACCTTTGTGCCCAAGAGAGCTCCCTGTGCCAAGGAGAGCCTGACATGTGTCCAGGAGAGCGCCCCATGCCCAGAAGAACCTCCTGCACCAAGGGCCACCAAAACGCAGAGGGGGAGAGCCACCCATGCCCAGGAGAGCCCCTCCATGCCCAGGAGAGCCCCTCACACCCAGGGGAGTCCCCAGAAGTGCCCAGCACGCAGCCTGAGAGGCCAAGCCATCACCGTGGCTCCCATTCCATGAACAAATCACATCACTCCAACCACACACATCTGCCACTGGAACAGGTCCAGGACGTGGCAATCCAGGGCGTGGGAGGGGGGATCCCTTTGGCAGGAGAAGGGTCCCTCCTCCTTCCAGGGAGTTAAGGCAACAGCTTCATCCTGACTGGTCTGCCCGGGGCAGAGCAGAGCCAGGAGACTCCTGGATCCCTGTGGCCACCACAAAAAACCTCCCAGGGAGCACAGAGCTGCTTCCCCTCCCTCTCCAGTCCTAAGGGAGATCCCCGTGCTCACGCAACCACCTCTGCCCAGGCTCTGCAGAGACGTTGTGTAGCTCCTTCATCTCCTCCTCTGCGTCTCAGGGCATGAGCAAATCCCAGCCACGGCAGAGAAAACACAGCCTGGGAATCTGTGAATGCCCTGCTCCTGGTTCCCTGCTGGGATCCCTCCTTGTTTACACACTCAGGTGCTTCCTGCTCCTCTTCCCAGCAGCACAGCAACGGTTGATCCCAGAGCACACTTGACGCTCCTGGCAGTAGCAGCAGAACACCAGGGATGCCCAGAATGTCTTTTTGTTTTTCCTTTTTTTCCTTTCTCTTTTGTTCCTTTCCTTCGAGTCCAGCACCTGCTCTGGCTCCGTCCCTCTCCACTGAGGTCAGGTGTGAAAATCTTAGCAGCATCAGTTTGTGGACAAGCTCAGGGTTAGCCTGGTCAAGTGGGCTAAAAGGTTAAAAAAAAAAATAGAATCTAGACTCAAAAACTAGTGAGAAATGCTAAAAGCACAGAACTCGATGGCCTCTAACAGGACCAGAGGTAAGTAAACACGACAGACTCCTTGAAACAGTGATGTACCTAACGTGCTGTTAATTTGTACAACGCCACCAATCTAAAAAGTCCTAGGAAGGCCCCCAAAAAAATAACCAACCAAAAAAAAAACCAAAACAAAAAAATAATTCCATCCATGATGCCTGACCATTAAATAAAACAAAACAACATCTTGGTTTTTTTTTCTTTTTTTTCCCTCCACAGCTTCCACCATTAACACTCTCTCCTCCGCCGGCTCCCTGCCCCATCAGCTATCCGTGTTTTTCTCGGCCTCTTTGGAATGGATGATGTACATGAAAGTCTGTTCGATGGTGAAGTCGGGCGGGAGGCTGCCCTTGTGCACCCCTATGTGCTTGCTCATGAGGTTGAGCGTGGAGCTGTAGTGGCCACACACGGTGCAGCGATACATGAGGGCCCCCGAGTGCGTCCGCAGGTGGCACTTGATGGTGGAGCGGCCTCGGAAGAACTTGTGGCACACCTTGCACTGGTACGGCTTCTCCCCGGTGTGGATGCGCCGGTGGTAGTTGAACTCGCTGGTGTGGGCAAACCTCTTGCCACACACCTTGCAGCTGTACTTGCTGTTCCCCGGCTGGTTCTGCAGTGCCAGCTCTTCGCTCAGGAACTCCTCAGGCAGCTTCCTCTTGGGCAGCCCCTGCGGCTGCAGGCGCTCCCCAAATCCCGCCCGGATGTCCAGGCTGCCGCCGCATTTGTGCTGGCTGACGTGGTAGCGATAGGCAGCTTCCAGCTTGAAGCTCTGGCTGCAGAAGTGGCACTGGAAAAGAGCCTCCTCCACGTGCTGGTGCACGGCCAGGTGCTTCTCCAGGAGCTGCCGGTCCACGAAGCTGCTGGCACACACGGAGCAGGAGAAGACGGAGATGCCCAGGTGGGACAGGGTGTGCCACATCAGGCTGCAGAGGCTCAGGTGCCGCTGGTCACACACGCCGCACGTTTGGCTCTTCAGGTTCACGTGCTCCAGCAGGTGGTTCCGGACCGTGTGGAAATCTTTGGCCAAAGGCTTCCCACAGGCAGCACAGGCCAGCTCGGGGCCGGGCCCTCCCCCAAATACGGCCACTTTCCCCGGCAGGGGGTCAGTGGGGTGGACAATGACGTTGTTGTCAAACACCCCGTCCCGCCGGTGCAGCGTCAGCT